TGAGTATTTCATAATATCCACAATTTTAGTTTATATGTAAAACAATACGTCATGTGTGGCACAATTTTCATTATTACTTTAAAGCTGAGAAAACCAAAATTGCAAAGGATAAAATTTCTTCAAAATGATATAACTTGGGGAAAAACTAAGAAAATTTTAATATAACTCTTACATTTATGGACCATAGATCCACAAAATAAATAAAACAAAGCTCCAATGAAATTGGCATAGTAAGATAAGAATCCATACTCATGTTAAAGTCTAACCTTTTTACTGGATGTATTTTAAATAATATTTAACACATGATAAACCAGAACCCATGCAAAATTGAGCCATATTATAAAAGGTTTAATAAATTACAGACAAAGCACACAAAATAAAAAGAAAATGATCAAACCAATAACAACTGGTCTAGGAAAGGAGCAAAGGAAGCACAATCTGTATAGGATATAAAAGATTATAAAGTGGATATAGCAAATTTATGTTTTATTAAGACTGATATTTGAGAAAAGGTAAATAAATTGTGCTTTAAAAGATCTAAAGATTTGGTCCAGTGAAGTAAAAGTTCACAAGAAGAGTCTCTACAATTAAATAGTGAATTAGAGATAATTCACCTGAGGCTTGGGGCAGGAATTTATCTTTACATAATCTATATAAATTTGACCATAAAATTTAGACTGCTTTTTTGGGCTTCGGCAGTACTACTTATAGGTAACAATGTCTGTCAACAAAAAAGATCAAGTCTTAAGCAATTTGTTTGTCTGCTTGTTAACAGGTACTTATGAAAGTAATAAAACTATATTCATTAAAAAATTATATGATCTAGGGACTTCCCTGGCGGCACAGTGGTTAAGAATCCGCCTGCCAATGCAGGGGACATAGGTTCAAGCCCTGATCCGGAAAGATCCCACATGCCGCGGAGCAACTAAGCCCGTGTGCCACAACTATTGAGCCTGCGCTCTAGAGCCCGGGAGCCACAACTACTGAGCCCACGCACCTAGAGCCTATGCTCCGCAACGAGAAGCCACCACAATGAGAAGCCCACGCACCGCAAGGGTAGCCCCCACTCGCCGCAACTAGAGAAAGCCAGCACAGCAACGAAAACCCAATGCAGCCAAAAATAAATAAATAAAAAATAAATTTATATAAAAAAAATTATGATCCAAAATATTTAATAATCCAGATTGGCCTTTCCTCAGGATATCAAAGATATTTTGCTGTTACTTCTCTTTTCTCCTGAAGAGTAAATAAAGCCTTCTTTGAAATGTTTCCATGTAATGATTGCCAGTATCAGTCAAGAAGTAATACTACCTCAAGAAGAGAGAATTCCTCTTTAAGAATTCTTTAGACGTATGATTAAGAGATTATTTTGCCTTTTCTCTTTGTTTAACATAGAAATGCATTTAAATTATGTATTAAAATGTCCCCAATTTATTTGATACTTTACATTTGGTAAGCACATGAGAGATGTGCTACAAAACTTTAGGCTATAGGAGCCTTGAAAGCCCGAACAAAACTTTATGAGATTATGAATTATCACAACAGTTTTAAGTACACTTCAAGAAAGCAGTTAAAAAAAAATTAGTATTCTTACTGGCTTCTCAAGCTGAGTACATAATGTATTTCAATAAATGCTTTTATAATTTCCCATAGCATTTAAGGAGAAGGGACATGTTTTGATGAAGAAATAGTTCAAAGTAAAATGTTTCAGGGCTTCCCTGGTTGCACAGTGGTTAATATTCTGCCTGCCAATGCAGGTTCGAGCCCTGGCTCGGGAAGATCCCACATGCCGCGGAGCAACTAAGCCCGTGCGCCACAACTACTGAGCCTGCACTCAAAAGCCCACAAGCCACAACTACTGAGCCCACGCACCACAACTACTGAAGCCTGCGTGCCTAGAGCCCGTGCTCCGCAACAAGAAGCCACCGCAATGACAAGCCCACGTACCGCAACGAAGAATAGCCCCCACTCACCACAACTAGAGAAAGCCCGCGAGCAGCAACAAAGACCCAACACAGCCAAAAATAAAAATAAACAAATAAATAAATTTATTTTTTTAAAAAGTAAAATGTTTCATTATTAATACTCTACATTAACTTGTATGCTTTAAAAACTCTATCTTAAAATTCTACTCTCTTCCTCACCTCCTCACACAGTGACAGCATTAATATTGTTAAAGATAAATTTTTGGCTCAACAGATGAAAAGGCATTTGTATTTAAGAGAAGTACTCTTGAGGGTCAATCTAACATTCCCATAGAAGGCCCTCATATTCCCATTTAAGAAACACTAATCTAGAGTACTTCAAACAAAGTAATACTCAAATCAACAAAACCTATACATTATACATAAAAATACTATTACTCTCAAAAATGGATTATGTCAAGAATTTTACTGGAAGCATTCAAAAAACAAGAAACCATTAGACAATAAAAGACAAACATTGCAACAGAGTCAGGTCAGCACACAATACACCATTTTTTATCTCCTATTCAAGTAAGTTACCTGAATCCCTAGGCTATTTCCTAAAGATACCATTCCTTGTTAAAAATTATTGGCTCCGAGGGTTTGGGGGACAAACTCTCCATCCTCTCACAGTTGAGAATCAACACCTGGCTCTACTTTTTTCCAGTAGTATTAACATCTGTATGCTATTCTGTAAGAAGTCGTTTCCAATGATAAAGCACCATTGAGTATTTCATACCACATGAAGGAAGTAATACTGAAAATTTTACAACAGGAGTTCTGGGAAGGCACTTAAAGCTAACTAGCTAAAAGAGCTCCAACAGTTAGAAGGTTTCTTTTTCATACTGCAGGCTCCTTAATACTATCTTCTTTGCTTATACCACTTAACCTCTTGATCAGTAGTTTCCCAATAAATTATGTTCAAATATAAATTAAAAAAAGAAAAGACAAGAAAGGACAAGCCCACATTCTGAGATGAATGAGGCAGAGTAAGTTTGCTTCCAAAATAAATGAATGGCTCTAAGAAGTGAAGAGAACTAGGAAGAGCAAGAGAGTAAAGCAAGCATGGCCTGGGTATAAGTGGGCTGTTGACTTAAGGAAGAAGTAAGTTTCATTTAAATTTTCAGGTTCAAAGTCTAAAAGGTATCTTTGGATAAGTAAGCAAACTAAATAGTTTCATATATTTTATTTATTTAAAGGTCATCTATAAGTTTTGAGTGTTCCTTATTTTACTTTAATATCGAAGTGACAAAGACAATAAATTTTGTTCAGGCCATAAATTGACAACTTGTAAAATTTCATTTTAAATTACATGTTTTGGAATTAAATAAAAATTGGCAATATTCTTCAAGTTCAGAAGTTGTTCCTTGAAGAGTCAAATTATCAAGACTCAAATGTCTAAAAATCTAAATGCTTTACAGTTGTCCCTCAGTATCTGAAGGGGACTGCTTCCAGGAGCCCCCAAGTTTACCAAAATCTGCAGATGCTCAAGTTCCATAGTTGGCCCTCCACATCCACAGGTTCTGCATCCATGGAGCCAGAGGGTTGACTGCATACTTATTTTTAAAAATCTGCCTATAAGCAGACCCACACAGCTCAAACCCATGTTGTTCAAGGATCGACTGTACTTATGACAAATTTAATATTAAAATATCATTCATAATGTCATAACACTGTATGCTCAGTTCCAGTAATTCAGTGATTCTAATATTTAGCACAAGTATTCCAGGAAAATTAACCTTATCTATCAGACATTTAAAGGAAAAATTGTTTTCCATATTATACCAGTGTTTTACAAAGTTGTACAAAGTGATTTCATTAAGAAGTAAAACAGCAATCATTTTCTCCCAGCCCATTAACCAAAAAGCAAAATAAAATAAAAATCTTTAAAATGCTATTCTCCCATAAATATTCACTTCTGTAATCACTCATTAAATAAACTCACCATCAAAAATCAACCTTTACCTTAAATCCCAATAGAAATGTCCTTATTATGGAAAAGTAACTTATTTACTTTTCTCCACTCATACAATGAAACTAGGAATGTTACGGAGGTTGTGACTTGACTGTAAATGTGAACAAGGTTTTCATATCACTGGGACATTGGATGGTTTGAAAAGGAATGTACAAACAGCCCTGCTGCTAGTCCAAAAGATGCCTTTCGTGTGAATTAGAAAAAAGGCTGTCCTGTCCTCAAGATACTTTATTGCCAAGTCAGAAATATGATAATTAGCAATGTAATTGTACCAATGTAAATGGCACCCTTGAGTTGGGCACAATTACACCCAGAGTTCTCCCATAAGTCCTTATTCTATTATATATTTTTTCCAATATATATTTTAACTAAGTCCACAACATCAGAGCTAAGGTTCCCTTATGACCAAAAAAGAGATGGAGGAGGGGTGCCCTCAACAAAACTCCCCAAATCACAAAATGACAGTTAAAAAAGATCATATATATATGCCACTAACAACAACAATAATGATGATGATACAGCTTCAATACTAGTCTTAATTTCTCTCATAAGGCTGTCTGATTTTGAAACCATTAATATATGAACCTTGCTCTTTCAAATATAAATGAAATTTTTAAACTGATAGAATACAGAAAACTTAAAATTCACATTAAGAATATACATGCAATGCTGATTTATGCTTATTGACAATACTATTTAATGGTTAGGAAAAAAAATAACTAGACATAATCTTTCCAATTCTAAACTGTGCAGATAGAGTATGTGCACAGTATGTTGGCAGCTTTCACAGAAAACCACAGCTGAAAGCTGGAGCACTTCCAATATCCAGAAATGTATTTTATTAGCTGCATCAGAAAATCATTACCCCAGAAGTCAAGGCCAATAAATATTCTTTCTAATTGTGCAGAAATAAATATAATGAGCTATACCATCAGCAGACTACATTGCCAAATATTAAGATTGTTTAAAATCTTTAAAATTCCACAAATTCCCGGTATGACAGACCTCTAAAATTCAAGAATTAAAATTTACAAAAATAAATACCACTCTGACACTCAAGGGACATCTTCACTTTAAGGCCTTTGTCACAAATCTGAATCTTTATTGTTCTGAAATAAATGTTATAAACATAACTCAAAACAAAAACTTCAATATTCAGTCTCGGAAGAGGCGTGGCTCAATGCCCATAACATGTAACAAGAAAACTTCCTTTAAAAAAAAGGAAAAAAAAGTACTATGAGAAGTCTTTCATATGAGTGAAAATGCACCCCTTTGGTTTTTTCTTTTTTTTCCTCATCTCATTAGCTTGTACACACGTAAGGATCTAAAGGTTTGCATTTTCTTCACAATAGTTCTTGCTATGACGTTTGACGAACTTTCTGCCACTCGACAAATTCATCAAGAAGAACAGGCCCTAGAAATAAAAGGAGCAATGTTATTAGAGTTCAGGGAACACATCTCTCCAACTATAAAACAAACTCCCCACAAACTCTGTGGTGATGATAGGGAACTGACCCTTCCCTTCTCCAGGTGGTTTCCTTTCAGCCTCCCTATTCTACTTAATGAGTGTTTTCTTAGCCTTTTTTCTTTTTTTTTTTTTGACATAAGGGACTTTCCACAATAGATATTTGTAGAAACCTCCTTCTCAAGATTTGTTTCATGAACTCTCCAATACTAAGTCATTATTAACCTCTCTCTTTTTCTAACTGCCCACAGCTTTCTGCCATTTAATTATTAAACAATCTGAAAAGTGTTTAACGTAGTATTTCTGTTACCTCACCAAGAAGTTTGTAAGTTTATTGAAGGTGTGGCCATATTAGAGACTTATATATTGTTCCAGTAATAGGACCTAGTATAAATCTGAACACAAAGCAAGTACCTAACAAATACCTGACTTAAGAACTATTGTAAAAGATATTTTTATAACGCAGGGGGTTCAAATTCATTTACTTACAAAAGTCAGATAGGTAGTTTAAATAAGCTCACTGTTTATTTTTTGTAAATGTAGGAAACTCATTGCCACAAAGAAATATGCTTGCCCTATTCTTCTTAAAGCACACAACCCTCTGGTGGTCTCACTTTTCCTCTTGCCTTCGATAGGCATATTTCTCTACTGTAAGAAAAACAGCAGACCAGCATAATAATAAATGGCAACTGAAAAGCAACCTAGTTGTTGGCATACTGTGGACCAGCACACCGGAACGCAAGTCCAACATAAGCCACTACTTGGTTCCAGCCTAATTCCTATAAAAGAACACAGGAACAGTTTTGTCAGATTTTCTAACTTTTCAAGCAAATCCAGAAGCTTTTATTTTTATACAAAATGTCTCAGTTATAATGTTGACTCAAATGCACATGAAAATACACATTTGCAGGCCAGACATAGTCCTTGGGCTGCCAGTTTACTGCTGTAAGGTATTATTTCTAAAAATATTAAATTTTATACCATTTTGTAGGGGGAAGATACAATATATATAGAAAGAAATAAAGTTATCCCTTCTTCAGTATTTTGTTTCTTCAGTGTCACAAAAATAAGTCCATAATTTCAGTTTGCATTTATAGGAATGTATCTTTTCTATGTAACCCTTCACAACATTAAAACAACATATGCAACCAAACTGATGGTGGGAAATAAAAACTTAATTTATCGTGAGAATTCGTTTGGCTTATCTAAATAATTTATCATTACTTCAAAGTTCTATTTTATGGCATTCTGGATTTTCCACTGAAGAGGATGGACAGATATTTTAATTTGAAGGATTAAAAAATTGTAAATATTTCATTTCCTGTTTACTCAATAATTCCTGAGGGAAGTTACTTTGACATCATTTGCCATATTGTGAATGGCTATTATGATATTAATTTTAAAGCTTCTGCTATTGTAGCTGAGGTTTTGCTTTCCTATTTTTAAAATCATGACTATACTTTTCTTTCATAGGAAAATGCCATGAAAGGCAGGAATAAAGCAGAATTTTAGCTTCCAGCTGCAGAAATTATATTCTAAATTTAGCTACCAAGTAACGGAAAATATTTCATTTACCAGCACAGATTTTATAATGTTGCTCAATCTAAGTTCTGTACCTTCTACACCTGCCTCCTCCACACTTCTCACACAATTAAATAAGAAATTGTTAGGAAGTTTAAATCCTTTATGGTAATGCTACACAAATCCACATTCTCATTTAATAGTTTTAAGAATTTTACTTTCATAGGCAAACATTATACTTACAAGCACCATCTTCATCATAGTTACTAAGGTCGGCATGGACTGTTCTGCTGAATTCTAACACATTGTACCACTGATCTTTGTTCATAACGCGATACTTTGATTGCTGTGGAAATGATATAAATTTTGGATTACAGAACAAGAACTATTTATTAGGACTTGACTTCAATAAACACAGTTATAACCTTTTTGTGATTTAGTCTTTCCTAAAACATTTATTCCTCTTTTAATTATTTGTGTTTCTAAGAGAATCCTCAGGGTCATTTAGATGTCAACTTCATCAAATTTATTTTTCCCTTTATTTTTCTTTCATTCTTTAATCTTTTGGGGGGGGGGCGGGGCACGGCATACAGGATCTTAGTTCCCCCACTAGGGATCCAACCCCTGCAGTGGAAGCATGGAACTTACCCGCTAGACTGCCAGGGAAGTCCCCTTCCTTCATTCTTGAGGAATAACATGAGTGTCAAGGGCACTAATAGTAAGGGTAAAACTCAATAAACTTTTACCAATGTATATGCTTGTGTAATCACCAATGAGATCAAGCTATACAATGTTTCCCAACACAGTAAATTCCCTCCTACTGCTTCTCACTAAATCATTTCTTTACGTAAGATTTACTGTTTAGCACATTTTGAAGTTGGCATCTTTGGAGGCAATGGAAAGGGTATAGACTTGGGTTCAAATCTCACTTCTGCTACTTGAGTGACCTTGGGAAAGTTATTCATTGGCTAAGTGGAGATAAAACATAATTCAAAATGGTGTTATAAAGATTTAAAAAGATAATGTATGTCAAACACCCTCCACATAACAAGCATTTGAAAATATTTACTTCTCTCAGCTCCTTTTAGAGGGGAATATTTTTACAGAGTTATACTTATCGTTGCCCCAAAACTACTAATATGAGGAAGGTTGATAACATCCATCAACCAATCTACTTTATTAGGCTTAAAGATTTAAGTGTGCACAAACCCATTCACATAAGACCTCTTATACCACTGTCTATTATCACAAGTTTTAAACGAAACTAATCTGGGGAACTTGTTATGATAAACAACCAGCTTTATGAGAAATTATTTTCGAAGCAAAAGCATCTGTATTCAAGAAACAGTGAGAAGTATACAAAAAAATGAAATGAAATGAAATAAAATGAAATAAACAAAATAAAATAGAAAGAAGCACAAAAACAGATAGGAAACTAAAGAAAGCAATGAAAAAAAGGACAGTATCTTCTTCAAACCACCACATACAGAAGGTGCTATGATAAACCTTCTAAAAGAATACTTTCTTCATAAATTCAGCATACATTTCTCAGTAATCACTATATTTAAGTACATCCTCATATTTGTGGACATAAAGTTTATTCTAATTCTTTACATTGAGCCTAAGTTTTAATATTAAAATTGGTTCTCTTATATTGATTTTTTCAGCCTAATACCCTGTATAACAGAGAGAAACCTGATTTAGAAAGCTTGAGATTTGTGCACTAGCATAAATTCTCTCCTGCAAAAATCCCAAGAAACTAATTTTACATGAAGGGTGTTTGTGCTAAAATATATTTCCTGAAGGTTTCTTTTTTATCTTTTTTTGGGGGGAGGGGGTTTGCAAGGCAGGGAATAAAAATGAACTTATGTACAGAATATGTTAATGAACATGAACTCATGTCTAAAAATGACAGCGGATACATACACATTTTAACAAATTTTCAAACACTTAAGCAGAATTTTTAAAAAGCACAGTATTAAAAAATCTACTTGTTTTTCTTCAATTAAAGGTATATTTTCAATCAGCTTAAATTTTAAAATATTATTTTAAAAATAAAAACACATACATACCTCCAGGTACTGGTAAAATACTGAAAACAGTGGCCATGTCCTCCCAAGGAGAAGAGCTAACATAGACTTAGCTGTATCAATATCAAGGCTTCTCTGATCTTTATCCTAAAATAAAGGTAAAAAAGTTTCCCTAAGTGTGGTTTCAAGATTAAAAAAATATTAAAATTGAAAACATGGAAATTCCACCTACCCTTGCAAAATCAAAGGCATATCTGTAGATATTCTTAAATGAAGAAATATCATTCAACTGTGAGCGCAAAAAGTCAAATTTGTTCTGTAACTTTTCTGTGCAGTCACACCTTAAATTAAAAAAATCAAAAATATTACATAATTAAGAAAATTAAATAAAAGCATCTTTAGGGGTTAGAAGGAATGCATTAAAGAAAAAAGTGAGCACATTTATGAAGTTAATTTAGGTTTAAAATTCTCTGATTCACAAATTTAGAATAACAAACTATTGCCTTGTATCTACCAATGCAATACAAAAAGGAAAGATGATAAAAGAAAATCTGGCAATCAATGAAAGTTCACTCCAGTAACTTCTCTTTAAAAAAAAACCACAACTCCATCAAAAACTCGAATAAAATCACAAATATTTGATAAAAAGAGATGTACTAAAATGTGCTTTTACCACAAATAAAGATAAGATGACAGAACAAATAAAATTAATCAGGCGTCTGATACAAATTTCACTGGGAAGTTCTTAGGCACCAGCTTCGTGAAAGAGATTAGCCATGATTGCTTTTACAAGTTTAGTATATAACTCAGAGGAAATACATTAGTGATTCAGTCATAAACTCAGATTCCTACATTTTTAGTAAACAAAAAATCAAAGTAAATCAGTGATAGCACCTAACTTCACATAAGGCACATATACAAAAGAATGAAAACAAGTAATACATGTTATTTCTAAAGATTAGACATGAAGTATAAGAAGCTAAAGAGATGGAATGTCCAAAAATATTTACTGGCTTTCTGACTCTCCCTGGGTTGATATATTCCCCTACTTAGGAAGAAGCAAGGCAGACAAAGCCTTTCACAATTGGCACAAATCTCCAGTCTCATCTCCTGCCAGGGCCCAATATCCTTAAAATATAACTGTGCTCTAGTTATAATTTCACTTACCATTCCCAAATGTCACAGCTATGCTTTAGCACACATTATTTTATCTACTTGATATGCTGTCCCTTCTAACATTTTGACAAAATATTACTCATCAAAACCTAACTCACAGTTTGCGCTCTCTGAGATCATGACTCCCTCTGATCAAATTAGTTGTGCCATCTACTGTGACCAACTGTATTCCACTCAAAACTGAATTTTAGTACTCATGACGTAGACACCTAGCATTCTCAGCTTTAACCAAGACTTCACTATTCTAAATCAACATTGTGATGTGTAGTAACTTATTGTTTTATTAAGGTGTAAACATCTGAATAAATTTCTAGTGTTACTTAACTCTTGCATTCTTAGAATAAGCCAAACTTGGTCATGTTACCTATTTTATACACTGCTAGATATCTTGCTATGTTCATAAGTGAGACTGGCTTGTAAATTTTATTCTTTCACACTCTCTTTTCTAGTTCTATAACAAGCTTATACCATAAGCTTCAAAAACAAAAAAAAATGAGAAATAGTACCCTTTCTTCTGTTTTCTGAAAAAGTTTACTGAACACTGGAATTAGGATTTGTCCAAACTCAGCAACTGAAAATCCACCTGGGCCTTTTCATTGAGGGAAGGAAAACCTTTTAATTACTAAATCAGCATTTTAAATGGCTATCAGACCATTCAGATTTTCTATGTCTTTTTGAATCAGTTTTGGTCATTTATACACTTTTCTGATCATTTATTTCATATATAATTTTATTTAAATATGCCAATTAAAATATTTATAATATTTTCTAATATGATTATTATATTTATATATTTTTGCCTTTTCTTTGCTTTTCTTAATCACCTTGCCATAATTTAATTCTCTCAATTGTATCTTTTTTCTATTTTACTAAGGTCTGGACATCTTTTTATCTCTTCTGCTTTCTTGGGGTTAATCCTTTTTCTAACTTCTTAAATTAGATACCAGTTCATTTGGTTTCAGGCTTTTCTTCTCCTTTAATATAACATTTAACACTATAGACCTCCCTCTAAGTACAATTTTAGCTTCAGCCACAGTTTTGTAAGTATTATTGATTTGATTATTCACTTGTAAATGATGCCTTAACAAGAGTGGTTTCAGAGGAGTCGCAGGGATAAAAGTTTTGCTAGAAAGAACGAGAAGAGAGAAACTGGAGAAAATAAGCATAGACAATTGCTTTCAAAGAGTCTGGTTCTAAAATGGAGCAGAGAAAAGAGCTCTAAAGTGGGATAGTGAAGGAGGGCAGAAGGTTTGCTTTTTAAAAAAATAGATACAAGAAATAACTTCTACTTTTAGGAAGATGAAGTAAATGTTCTCTTCCCTATCTCTCCTGCTAATTCAACTAAAAGCCCTAGACATTATATATAAAACAAACATAAGAAGACTCTGAAAGAATCTGAGAAACAATACAGTAGTATGTTCCCTGGGTTTTCTTTTTGCCTTGTCTATCCCAGACTTGGAGATGAAGGAGTCAGAAAAACGGAAATGCCAATGAGGGCAGACAAACAAACAAACAAAACAAACAAACAAAAAGTCTGCTCTCCCACTAGTCAAAAGTAAGCAGCCTAACAAGACAGAAAACATTAGAAAGAAACACTCTTCTCCTGTCAAACACCAAAGAAAAAACTGGCTCAAACCCCAGCAATGCCAGCAAAGACTGAATGGGGACCTGAATGGTCTACCCTCACCAGAGTATAAGGAGTTTGCCCTCTCAAATTCTGCAGTGTCAGTAGTGGAAACCACATGGGGAACACGAACTTCCACTCCCACCAGTTAGTAAAAAGCAGCCAATCCTCCTCTGACCTGAGGTAGTGTCAGAGGAGGATTTATAAAGAGTCAGGGCTTTCACCATCACTGCAGGAACAAGGCCATCACCCTACTAGTGTCAGTAGAGACTTTTTGGGGAACAAGAAAGTATCAGTAGAAGCCTAGTGGGACCTAAAACTCTCATGTCTGCTAACAGTAATGAGGACTTCCCTCCTCGGATGTCAACAGATGCAGAGTGAGGAACTTGATTTCTATAGGCTGGAAGTAATAAGGTAGTGGCCCTCACTTTTCCTGAGGAAGTGGTATGAGAGGAAGCTAGCTAAAACAGAAGGCTTAAATAAGATCCAGAGTTTCATAATGTAATACTCAAATCTTCCAGGTTTCAATAGAGAAGAAAAAAATAATTGCTTGCCATAGCAAAACCAAGATCTCAAATAGAAAGGAAAAAGACAATCAATAGATGCAAACACTGAAATGATAGAGATGTTTAGAATTACTTGACACAGATTTTAAAGCAGCTATTATAAAAATGCTTCAATAAGCAATCATGAACAAATTAAAACAAATGAAAAGATAGACACTACCAGCAAAGAAATACAAAGTCTAAGGAAAGAAATATATAAAAGAACCAAATGGAACTTTTTGAATTATAAAATACAGGGCAGACTTAAACCCTAATATATCAATAATTAAATTAAATATAAGTAGCCTAAATATAACAATTATAAGAGAGAGATTGACAGAGTAGGTAAAAAAAAAACCTAACTCTGCTATTTAGAAGAAACTGACTTCAAACATAATACAGGCAGATTGAAAGTAAAAGAATGGAAAAAGATATATTGTAGAAACAATCAAAAGAAAAGAGGGGTGGCTACACTAATATCAGCTAATGTAGACTTCAGAGCAAAGAAATTAACAGAATAGAGAGGAACATTACATAATGACAAAAGGTCAATCCACCAAGACATAACAATCCTAAATGTATGCACCAGACAATGGAGCTGCAAAATATGAGACAAAAACTTATAGAACTGAAAGGGGAAATAAACAAATTCACAATTACAGTTACAGATTTCCACACCTCTCTCTCAGCAATTGAGAGAACAACTACACAGAACATCAGCAGACGTATAGAAGAATTCAACAGCACCATCAATCAACAGGATCTAATTGACATTAATAGAACATTCTATTCAATGGCAACAAAATACTTATTCTTTTCAATCCTGAGCCATAAACAAACCTTGACAGATAAAAAAGAATTGAAATCACACAGAATATGTCCTCTGACCACAATGAAACCCAACTAGAAATAACACTTAGAAACTAAACAGCCAACTCCTAAATAATCCATGGGTGAGAGCAAGTCTCAACGGAAACCAAAAAATATACTGAACTGAATGAAAATGAAAAAACATGTCAAATTTTGTGAGACACAAAGCAGTGCTGACAGGGAAATTTACAGCACTAAATACAAACATCAGAAAAGAGAAAAAGTCTCAATCAATAATCTAAGCTCCTACCTTTGGAATCTTTTCTAGAGAAAAAAATCAATGAAACAAAGATGTGATTCTTTGGAAAAGATCAATAAAATTGACAAGTCTCTAGCAAGAATGACAAAGAAAAAAGAGAAGACAAAGATTACCAACATCAGGGATGAAACAAAGGATATCATTACAGACCTGCAGATATCAAAAGGATATAAATTTGACAACTTAAGATGAAATGGACCAATTCCTTAAAAAGAAAAAAAAATACAACACTCAAAATTTTAACTATTTGAGTATGTAACTATTAAATTATTAATAAATTGAATCCAAAAGTTAAAAACATCTATAAAAGACATCTACAGGTTCAGGTGGTTTCACTGGAGAATTCCACCAATCTCTGAAGACCAATTCTACAGCCTCCTTCAAAAAATAAACTATAAGGAAAAACTTCCCAATTCATTTTATAAAGCCAGTATCACCTTAACAGCAAAACCAGAAAAAGACAGTATTTAAAAAAAATCATCACAAGAAAAAAAAAATTTATAGCTATGTATACTGATGGATGTTAACTAGACGTATTGTGGTGATCATTTTGCAATATATACAAATACTGAATCATTATGTTGTACACCTGAAACTAATATAATGTTATATATGTCAATTGTACCTCAATAAATAAGAAAAAGAAAGAAAATAAAATTACAGGCCAATATCCCTCATGAAGCCATAATAAAATATTAGCAAGTAGAATTAAGAAGTATATAAAAATAATTATAAACCATGATCAAGTGGGATTTATTCCAGGTATGCAAGATTGATTCAGTACTCAAAAATCAATGTAATCACATTCATAGGCTAAAAAAAGAAAAATTACATGATTATATGATTTAACGCAGAAAAAATATTTAA